GCTCTGGGAGGATGGTGGGCTAGCTGAGCCTGGACACTGAAACACCACAACTCCTTTTTCCCTCCTTACCTTCCTCCTCCCAACCTCCCTCCTTTATTCCTGACCTGTTCCTCTTTCTCCCTCCCTCTCTTATTATCTCTTCCTCCTTCTCAGTCTCTCTATTCCCCCATCCCTCCCTTACCCACCTCCCAACCTCTCTCCCTGGCCCTGCATCTCAACAGAAGGGACTTTGAGACTTTTGGACAACCACTGAACCTTCCACAGAGCTTGTCAAATTCTGCTTAGGAATCAACCAGGAAGATAGTAGGATATGATGCTTAATATCGATCACCAACTTGACAGGATCTAGAATCATCTAGAATACAAACCTCTGGGCATGCCCTTGAAGGTTTTCCTGGGAGTTAACTGAGGGGGGAAGACCCACCCTAAATGTGGGAGGCATCATTCTGAGACTGGGGTCTCAGGATGAATAAAAAGGAGACAGTGAGCTGAGCACCAGTGTTCCTCTCTCTCTGCTTCCTGACTGCAGAGTCCCAGTGACCATTGCTATTCTACCATTGCCAGCATGACATAGGCAGTAAGCCCCAATTACCCCTTTCTTCCTTCCAATTTGTTGTCAGGTGTTTTTTGTCACAGCAGTGAGCAAAGGCACCAATACCTTAGGGGACTCTGCTCAGAAGCAGGAGTGACTCTTCTCTGGAGATAAAGATTTTCTGGAGGGGTTCTCATCTTTTGGTGAAAGCTACTCAGAAACCCTTGGCTCCGATCTCCCAAAGGGAGCCTTGCTGCTCCCCTTGAACATGAAACAGCAAGCTTATTAAGTGTCCTTGACAGAGACACCATGAATGTGTGCTCTACACGAAAATTAGTTCCAAATCAGAGGAATTGTTCTGAGGCAAAGTGGTAAGAAACTCAGAAGCCCTCCCTTCCCCTCCCCAAACAATGTTGCCCCAAGTATGTTTCAATTCACCCAAATGCAAATTGATGAATGACAGCAGGCTGCCTTTATGTTCCAGGGAAAGAAATACACAGCTGCTTATTGAAATTATGAATCAGTCTATTATCCAGCAGGCAAATGAGCGGTGCTAAGAACATTAATTAACTAAGCATATCTATGACCCAGATGTTTAAAGAGCAGAGCTAAATGCTGCTTGAGTTAAGAGGTTCCCTTCTGAGGTCTGCTAGGGTGCAAAAGATAGATCCGCCATACTGAAACCAGCGAAAATCAGCTACTAGCCCAAGCCGTGTTGGCATCAGAGTGGGTAGGTAAAGGGGCTGTGTTCTAGTTTCATGTCTGTGGAGGGAAAAAAAAACCACACCTGACCAAATGCAAAGTAGGGAAAGACACAGTTTATTTCATCTCACACTTGCAGGTTGTGGTCCATCACTGGGGAAAGTCAGGCAGAAACTCGAGCAAGAGCTTGAGGCAGAAACTGTAGGAGGATGCTGCTTTCTGGACTGCTCACAGGTCCGTGCTCATATAGCCCAGGGAATGGTGTTGCCCATGGTGGGCTGGGCTTGCCTATATTCATTAGGTCTCCCACAGACATACCCACAAGCCGACGTAATATGGGCAATCCCCAGTGGAAACTCCTTTCTCAGGTGACCTTAGGCTGTGTCAAATAGACAGCTAAGGACAGATGAGCTCATGGTGGGTCTTTCATATCTATATACAGAGGTTCTTCTGGGTTCATGGGCCAGTACCCAGATTTTTTTCATGGTCTGAAAGATGACAACTGTTACAGATTGAGTAAGATGACTCATGGGTACATGTTTTGCAGTTTTGGTCCCATACTGGTGACACCATTTTTGGAAGTTGTCAAACATTTAGGGGGTAGGGCATTGCTAGAGGAAGTAAGTAGGTCAATGTGGGACATCACTGCAGATCTGTTCCTCTATGCCTGACCCGCAGTGATGCCCTAAACCCCTCTAAACCATAAGTCAAAATGAATCCTCCTTCTAAGGTGTTTGTGGCTGGTATTTTTCTTTTTCCTCTGAATGAATTTATTGACCACAATGAAGTTCTATATACAAAGTGACCTGGACCTTGGTGACAAATTCCTATAATCCCAGGATGCAGCAGTTTGAAGCAGGAAGACCACAGGTTTGAGGTCAGCCTGGGCTACATACACAGTTCTAGGCAATGATAAGCTGCAATAGTGGACTGCAGTGATGGTTTTCAAAGAGCAAAATGACCAAAGCCCAAACAAAACAACTACGATCCTTTTTAACTAATATCTTGGTAACTGGTTGTCCTATAAAATAAGGAAGTCCACATTGAACACTAGGTGAATGGCTTAACCTCTGGAACTTTAATAGTTTTACAAGTTAACTGACACCGGTAGGATTGGATCCCTATGACAGGCTGTTGAAGAACAGACATGAGATGTCAAGAGGCCATTGTGTGCACTGCCACTGTGATGCCATAGTGTTGCTGGATCATAATGTTCCCACTATCTGATTCTAAACAGACCAGAGGAATATCAGTGGGGTCAGAGGTTAGCTTAGCTGCTTGCTGGGCTAGAACAGATATCACTCCAGCATGCTCATCTGACAGGGTACCACGGCAGCCCAGATTAAGTCCTTGTGAATCTGTGCACAGGACTCCAACAATGGACGGATTCTTCACTGTGTTCTCCAAATGCTGCTCCAAAGTTGATTCCATCCCACCCGCTATCCGCCCCAATCTGGGATCCTGCAGCAAAAAGCCCGTGGTTGGTATTTTTGTAACAGAGATGAGAAAAGTAACTAATGCTATCAGACCACAGGATCCCATGTCTACTTCTTGGTTGCAAGGTAGAGTAGTGAGCCCAGGACCACTGTCAAAGTTCTCCTGCTTTGTCTCAGTTCTGGGTTTGGAGCTATCTTGGTGTAGTTGCCTGATGCGCCTCCTTCTAACCCACATTCCTCAAGTTCTGGTTTCCCACCTCCACGGCATTGCTTCAGGTATTTCCCTGCTGGGACAGAATATTCATCATTAGCCTTCCTCCAGAATGTTCAGCTTCAACTTTCCAAGCCAAGCCCTCTGTGTGATTCACTCTCTTTCACCATGTCTCTTCTCTTGTTCCTGGGTGCATGCGGATTCATGCACTCTGGTCTCTCTTTTTCCCAGCTGTGATTAAACCATATCCTTTTGCCTTCACTTACCAACTACTGGCATTTGGGTTGTTTCCACTTTGGGCATTGTGAATGCCCACTGGCATGGGAAGTCACTGTGTGTGTGTGTGTGTGTGTGTGTGTGTGTGTGTGCGCGCGCGCGCGCTCGTTCTCCATGCCCCCCCCACCATGACTGGAGTCAGTTCTCTCTTTCCACCACGTGGCTTCCTGGGATCAAACTCAATTAACCAGACTTGGCAGCAAGTGCCTTTACCCACTGAGCCATCCTGCAGTCCTTTCTCTTCTCTTCCTCCTTCTCTCCTTCCCGTTTCTTTTTGTTTCTCTTTCCCTCCCTCTCCCTCTCCCCTCTCCCTTTCTTCCATGAGTGGCAAACATTCTTCACACGTCTGGGCACTAGAACTTCTTCAGATGACGACTGAACACTTCTCTCAGTGTGGTTTTCACTGTGCTGGCAGTGTCCTTTGAAGCACAGAGCGTCTTTAATTTTGATAATAATCTGTTTTTTTTCTCTTTGTTTGTTTGCACTTTTGATGTATCTAAGAAACCATCGACAATGCCAAGGTCAGGAACATTTATCGCTCCCTGTGTTTTCTACGACTTTCATCATTTTTGCTCTTATATTTAGTTAGGCCTTTGATCCACTCTGAGCTCTTTTTCTAGATGATCTAAGGAAAGTGTCCAAATCCGCTCTTTTTTATGTGGGTATCTAGTTGTCTCAGCACCATTTGTTGAAAAGACTCTCATGTCACCCTTGTCAGAAATCAGTTGACTGTGAATGTGACGATTTAGTTAGGGGCTTTCAATGCCATTCCATTGATCTCTGGGTCTTTCTTTCATTATTGTGGCTGTCTGTGTGTGTCTGTCTGTGGTGTGCATATATGCATGAATACTTTTGCATATATAGGGTATGCTTAAAGGTATGTGGCACACATGTGGAGGACTGATGTCCTAGTTAGGATTCTTTCTTGATTGCATTTCATCTTAATCATTGAGTCAGGGTCTGTCAGTCGAAGCTTGCCAGCTTTGAGGACCCCTGTCTCTGCCTTTTGAGGTTGGAATTACAAATGGGTCACCATGTTCACCTGGCATTTGTGTGGGTTCTGGGGGTCTGATCCGTGGTCCCCGTGTTTGCACAGCAAGCCCTTTAACCTTTGGCCTACTTCCCTGGCCCTCACAGCATGGATTACTATAGGTCTGGAGTGAATTTAGAACTGGAGTACATATTTTCAGTTTAATTCTCTGCAATCAACATTGTTTTGTCTATGCTGCATCTCCTGTGTTTTCAAATCAATTTTAGAATTGCATTGCACCTGAGCACTGGCTTGGGGGAGGGTGGCCACCTTAATAGTGTTTGTTCTTTTACTCCATGTACACCAGGTCTTTCCCCCAGGGCTTTAATGCCTTTCTATGTTGTCTTATAGTTTTCTGTGGGATAGGTCTTGTATGTCTTTGGTTGAATGTATTCCCAAGCATTTTGTCTTTTGTATGCTGATAGTATTGTTCTTATTTATGTATTTATTTACTTAAATTTGTGTGTGTGTGTATGTGTATGTGTGTGTGTGTTGGGGGGGGGGGTCAGAGGACAACTTGCAGCAATCAGCTATCTCCTTCTACCATGTGGGTCCTGGGGATGGAACTCAGGTTGTCAGGTTTGGTGCAATCACCTGTACCTGCTGAGCCATCTCAGCGGCCCTTGTTCTTTTTGACCATTCTCGAAGAGTTGTCATTTAGACAATTACTCTGACCACAGTCAGCTCCCCTGGGACTTTGGAGTCACACTGAACTATGGGCTCTGCATGTTTCCTTAGTGACTGATTTCTGAAGGGAATGGCCAGGGGCCCACAGATCACACCCACATAGAGTCATATCCCAAATGTGCCTGGGTCTCCATCAGCTTTACAGTAATCTCCTGAGACTCCATTAGATAGCATCTCTTCCATACCTGCAGTACGCACAGTCCTCCTTTAGTCTCCCACCCCATGACCTGAGCTCCGGGTGCCTGTATTTCTGTTTGGTTTAGGTGGTCTCCTGCAATTCATGGAAATCTGTCTTCACTCACCTTTTCCCAATTCCTCTGGTCTCTGACCCCTTTGCAGATGGTAAGCCATTATCTCTCCCATTCTCATCTAGGTCATTTTTCCACTCAAACTGCAACATAACCAGGTATTGTCTCTGTGTGCGTGTGTTCATGTGGGTGTACATTTGTGTGTAGGTGCACATGCACATGTGTGCATATGTGTATGTAGGTCAGAGGTCAACCTGGGGTGTCATTCCTCAGGTGCTGTGCACCTTACTTTCTAAGGTTGGATTCTCACTTTCCCAGAACTCACTAAGCAGGCAAGAATGACTAACCAATGAGTCCCATGGATCTCCCTGCATTTGCCTTGACGGTACTGAAATCACCACCATGAACCACCATATCTGGCTTTTTTACATGTGTGCTGCTGGGGATTGAACTCAGGTCCTCATCCTTGTTTGCCAGCACTTTAGTGACAGAGTCATCTCCCCAGCCCTGTTAGTTTTTAGGCTAATAGCAATGCCACCCATTTTTGAAAGCCATGAAGAACAAGAGAAGTATGTTATAAAGAGCCAATGCTGGCTGAATACCTTTGAATGGGGTAGGATCACTCTAGATTTGCCTGCTGGGCCCAGGAGAAGAAATGAACACCATTATCCACAACCCTAATGCATGAAGAAAAATAAAACCTCCACCATCAAATACAATTAATTCTCATTTAGAGGGGAAAAGCATTTTCTAGTTGAGATGATCTAAGAGAGACTCACAACTATTAACCCAGATTTAACAGCCTTGAGGGAGAATTGAAATATTCAGGTTACAGCCAGATAAACAAAAATCTGACAATAATTGCGAAATGACTCTGGAACGCATTGAAAAAATCCATTAAATGGCCGATAAAAACATGGCTCGCAAAGCCTTTGCCATTAAGGGGCTCTCTCGTCACTTTAAAATCAGGCACAGTCAGCATGGAAAGTCAGGCTCAGTGAAGAATAAAGTTTGTGTACCTTCTGTTCAGGAGATGTTGTGTGTGTGGGGTGTTCTGTTGATTCCAACCTGATCCTTTAGCCACTGTGTTAGCTTAGTGCTCAACTGAGATGCAAGAAGAATGGCTTATGATTGTGACTATCCTGAATATGAAAAGGTTTTTATCCAGCACTGTCCTTTTTCTAAAGATTGATTTTTAAGCAATGTGCCTGTGTATGTGCATCTGAGTGCAGTGCCCACAGAGTCCAAGAGAGGGCGCTGGATCACCTGGGGCTGGAGTTACAAGCAGTTGTGGACTGCCTGACATGGATGGTAGGAATTGAGTTTGGTCCTTTGCAAAAGCAGGAAGGACTCTTGTGACTGTTGAGATGTCCTTCCAGAGCCTCTCCTGAGCTGTTCTGAGGAAAAAGTGGCAGGTTAGCAGTGGACAGGAACCTTCTATACTGGGCACCATTTACATTCAGATTTAGCATAAAAACAAGTGTACACCATTGGAGAACTGGAGCCTTGCTTCTATGTCACCAGACATTTTATTCATTTGTTTGTTTATTTGTTGTCTTCATAGTGGTCAGTGTGGCCTCGTGTGGTTAGTGTTTCCTGGCTCTAGAGCATTCCCAGCAGCATGTGAACACTCGTGAGTCCCAAAGTCCCCCATTCAAGAGCTGCTGTCCCATGTGCTTAACCAGCACCACAGGACAGCAGAGTACCTCCAGTGACTCCTTCTCATTGCTCCTATAGGTTACATATGTGGAGTGATTGTGCATTGCATCCCTACTGTTCCCACTCTGCTCCAACCAGTTCCTTGCTACTCCTGCTGGATGTCTCTGCTTTTCATTTTTTATATGTATGTGTGTATGTATGTCCGTGAGCATGCATGTAGAGGCAGGAGATTAATGCTGCAAGTCTTCCTCAGTTGCTCTCCATTTTGTACTGAGCAGGGTTCAATGAATCCAGAGTACACTGATTTGGTGAGTTGAGCTAGACACCTTGTCCTGGGGGATCTCTGACTTTGTGTGCGGAGTGGTGAGATTACAGGTATCAGACATGCTCCTCTTCCTTTGGCCTCCTCTGGTGGGAACCCATTGTATTAAATGAGCTGCTTCAACCTTTTTAGGACCCACTCTGAATTGCTTTGGACCCTTTCCATTTCAAATGAACAAGGTCTTTGGAAATTATCCTTGCACAGATATGGGCTTGGTGACAGGGGCCTTGGGGGAGTCTGAAGCAGGTTCAAGTTCAAGATGAGCCGAGGTCATAAACGAGTGATTTCACAGCTAGCCTTAGTGAAACCTTATTTCAAAAGAAAAAGTAAAATGGAAATTGGAGGTGTGGTTCAGTGGTTATGGTACTTGCCTAGAATCACCCCAGGGTTGGGGCTCACTGGCCATGGCATCACTTCAGAGGCAGAGGCAAGAGGAACTGCTTGAAATTTGAGGCAGTCTTGCAAGACCCTGTCTCAAATGAAACAACAGAACAAAACAACAACAACAACAACAACAACAACAAAACAACCAACCAAAAAAGTCAATCAAGCAATAGCAATAACCAAAAAAAGATGAGCAGCAACTTTCCATACT